TAACCACATCATCAAGTGTAATCAGAATTAAGCCGTGTAATTAACAGATGTAATCAAACTTTTTTTGGAATTTGTTAAGTGCCTGTAGACGTAATACCTTCTGTACACATGTGACCTCGCATGTGATAAGTGCTTCGTCCGTGGTCCAGTATTACAAATCACATATATGACACATTATAAAAATGATTTAGCTTTGTTAAAGTAACAATCACTGTGGTTGATCAGACGAACAGTTATCAATTTGACGTCATCGCAATTATTATTTCTTTCTGCTTGCAATTAGAAGGAATAGGATCGGCATCTCTTTAGCCATATGCTCCTTTGTCAGTAATTGAGCGTTAAATCGACGTCGATAACAAACAAACAAGCCCTGTAAATTGATGATTTCTTCAAAAGATCCACAACTAATTTTCCCTAACTATTCTCAAGTTATATCAAGGTATTCATTGATGAGAATTTAGGATTTCATCGCCTGGTTGCCAAAAGTTGGGCGGTTCATCGGTGACTTTAGACTGAGCTGCGCGTACACTAGTTTTTAAACCGCTTCTTTTTGTTAATTCAGAGGACTTGAACAGATTTCGAACCGGTCGCAGATTTGAAGTGGCCGTGAATTATCAGCCATGGCTATGTTTACCAAGGGAAATTTTGGAGTATCTACTTTTGATTTGAAGTTTGCAAAAGTGTGCGGTTTTAAACAGAAGTTTGTTTGTATTTGTGCTTCAGTCACCATTTCTTTAATCTTTTGTTAAGCACTTTCAAGGTAGAAGAATAGCACTTAAGCAGTCTTTGACGCTTTTAGCTCTTTTGTTGGTTCTATCGTTAGTCATTCAACACGGCGATTAATTTTTCTCAGGCGATGTTGGCTTTTGGTTATCGCGGGGTGGGAGGAGCTAGTTAAGTGTTCTCTGTCCTGTTTTGTTCCATATGCTTTCTAGCCTCAAGCCTCGCAAAATGAAAGAGTAGCCAGGTACTGAGGCGATTTTAGCGAACTACAGTGCGGAACTGGCTTCTAAGTGTAGAAGTTGCAATTATAATGCGCACAGAACGCCATGGATCATTTCTAGGGCCAACATAAATTCGCTTAGGTATTATTGATTTGTTTTTGATAAACATTTCTTGGGCCATCCAAAGCGGTTTAGACAATTTGAAATTTAGAAGGATTAAGGTGAGAATAGTAGGTGATGAATCGTTAGCTGCTTAATGGCGCTTGGGAAACGTAGACGGAACTCGTAATTACCTTAACATTGTTCTGCTAACGTTCTTAATGGAATCTTAATCGCGCAGTCACTGAAAGTATTAACTGCTTGTAAAAGCCGCATGGGCGAAAGTTAGAACTCCGCAACAAAAAGCGCTGTAGCGAGACCTGCAGATAGCTCATGGTTTTTCTTTCTTTCTTTCTCTTTTTTCTAGAACAAACCAATATGGCTTGTTATGATAAAACGTTATATTCACCTCGTGGCTGTCACGTATTTTTTCTGTATTGCCTCGGGGGCCTTTTTAAACTCTAAACTAGGGCTGAAAAACAAAGGCAAGACAAAGAGATTGCAATAAAGCCTGCTGTGTCCTAATTGCTTTCCATTTTAGGCTTGAATGTTGACGAAATTTGTCTGTGTATGTTAGGTAATTTGAATACTTTCTTTGTTTTCTAATTTAAGATGACTATCAACAAACTAAGTTCTCAGTGGCCTTGAAATCTGTGGACCTGTTTTCCGTTTCGTGCGGTTTTCCTGATTGCGTGAAACTCTGTAACAGCTGACTGGGCAAAGAACTCTTGCACTTTACAAATCACCATCTTTTAAAATATTAATATCTTGAAAGGCTTTCAACAATACTTGTCAAAACAGCCCCTTAAGGCATCAAGTCTCTTTCTGCTACCAATTTGACTTAAACGAATATAGTTATCGCCTCAGCTTATGGTAAAATGGAAGGTCGAAGCCAACGCCATTCTTCTGCTTTTAGGTTCCTCCCCGCATTTGTCGCCAAAAATCGCCAAGATTAAGTCTACACTTTCTATAGATTGCTATTAATTGAAGAGGTTAGTCAATTGTGGACGAGTTGAGGTGAACAATTGCTTCCGTAACCAAGAAATAACACGTTTTCTGAAACACGCTGGCTACGAAGTTTCATCACTTCTTAGTACAAAATTGAACACTTCACCTTCTAGCTGTTTGTTTGCCGAAATGCTTAGCGCTGTTATTCCGGAGGTTCGAGCGCTATGGCGGTGCCCCATTCTAATAAAGCTTGTTCAAGACCAAACGATTTATTTCTATTTAGACACAACAAGGAGGAGCAGTAGGTAATATCTCGAAATATCAAAGGATAGCATTTTAAATGGGAGTCGATAAACCAATGTTGTTATCTTTTTGTGCGCTTCAGAAAGTTTGGCGCCTTGGCTCTCAAAATAATGACGGCCGATTTCCAATAAAATTATTCGAAATGATAAAAGCTTGTCGGGCCATTAATCATGATATCTTATCCTATTTACATGTGTCAGTGCTTCGTGTTGCAATAAAAACTTGTGTTTTGGCCTTGTTGATTGAATCCTGCTATTAAAATTCAGATTTTCTGTGACTCAAAACGTAGACCCGTTAAAGCCCAAATTACATTGTGAGTCCGAGTTTAATTTAAGTATTTCCAAAACGGAATTATACCATAAATTCACTGACGATTAAAATTCACTTTGAAGTGTTGAATAATTTCCCCGCACGAGTTTAAAGTTGTCACTAACTATTATAGTTGAGGAGCTTCTGGCACAACTTCGAAAAGTAAAACCACCAGCATTTTGTCTCACGATTCTTGTTGGTTGAACAAAAAACGTTGAAACATTTTCTACAAAACGTCGTGTGAACAATATCTCTTTCGCCCATTTACATTTAATTGCTGTAAAAAGCCACAAAAGCGTTGTAAACTGACCGTAAAACCAAACGTTTACTGTTTCTTGTCTGAGCCACTAAAAACCTATTAACTGATGGATTTGTTGATATTAATTTCAGCTCCTCCTTCGTTAAATATGGTTGGCGATAGCACAAATTGACGATGATGTGTCACGAAAACTTTTATTTTAATTCCTCCCTTTCCTCAAGGCAAACGTTTTATTGGCATTCTCGTTTCTTCGGGCAAATATGCTTTGATAAATTACTCCAACAATGTCAATTTTCAAACCTTTTTGAAGAAGAAATTGAACTTAAATTTAAGTCTGATGACTCGTTCATTTAAAAGGTAGAAAAAAATATAAAAAATGTACGCATTCAAGTCCTCGGAAATTGAATTTGCCCGTCTAGACGTGGCTTGATGATTCAAGGGCAGTATTTCTTTTAAAGGGGAGTTTAAGTTTACAAGATCTTTTGTCATAAAATCATTTTTCTTCCTCTAAAGCCGCTTTAGAATTTTATCAGCACAAAAGTCTGTATATGACCTAGACATTTGCAAATAGCCTTTTAACTAAGTTCTCCTGATTGTACGATGATAGATTCTGCGACAAAAACAGAGACGAATTTCTAAGAACCTATTAAGCCCGCTAGGCCAAAACCGGCGGTAACGTTCCAGAACTATAAAATGTCGTTGATGACAATTCTGAGACTCGGCCGTAATGGCCTGGCCATAATTTACATTGTTTGCCTTTCCATTTATTTGTCAAAAGGAAGGAATTACAGAGTAATATTGAATCATTTTTATGGCGAGGATCAGGTTTTATTATACAAATACATTAAGGGGATTCACTCTTCTTCCTTTCGTAATTAATATCTTTCAAAGTTCAATAAGAGGATTAAACCGTGGTACTAGCAAAGTAGTTGCAATGACTCTAAATCATCGTTTAGGGCATTACGAAACGAATTTTTAGGGCGTGTTTTTACCCTGTGTGTTTGAAGTAATACAGGTAAGTGTATTGATAAGTGTCAATTCTCAATTGATTTTGGAGATGTCGAATCCAAAATGCATCAATCATGTCACGGTTTGTGTCAAGAAATAATGACTTAATATTTCTCGGGCGAAATAAGTTGGCGAGAATGCAATCAACCAATTGCGTTTACTTCATTAGCATCTCAGCTGTGGACACTTAGGCCAATCAGCGAGTCATCAGCTTCATTTGATTGGAAACTGCCTCAATAGCAGAAAACCATTAGCAATGCACTTCACAGTACTTCACTCCCCGACGCTCTTTATCACCTACTTTCTCGCGTGGCACTCTCTTATCGCCTCGAACTCTCTTTAAAAGCCTCCTGATGCTCTTAATTATTTCCAACCTTATCGCTCTAAATCTTCAACAGAACGTGTTATGTTAATTTAAACTGCCAAGCCGCACGTTATAGCAGCATTACAAACCTAGAAGCCTCGCATTGCCTCTTAAAGCTTTCATCAATGTTTTTTTGACTGGTCATGATTTGATTTTAAGGTTTTGCATCAGTGTGATGTATCCCTCTCTCGTCGGAGCGTAATGATGTTTGTGTTATGGTAGGCGTGAGCGCAATCAAGCTGTTAAGCGCGCGGCTAAACGCTCCGTTTATGACATACACCAACAAATGTTCCACTTTAAACTAAGAATGCCTTAAACAGAAAAGCTTTTCACGACTGTAGCCCGACACCAAGAAGGTAATTGGTGAATTGTTATCCCTCAACCAATTGAAAAAGACAAAACGCGAACACTTTTAGAATGACAACGTGTCTCGTCCTAATTAATAGCGGCCAAAGACCAATCAGAAACTACGCTTATCGCTTTAGCTGAGTTTTGTATAGCAGGGGGAGGAGAAGATTATTTGTGCTTTCTCACGGTTCCATTAGTTGCCACCAACGACCAATCACAGACCGGCATTTCCATGTCAGCCGTTTAACAAGTTTGACGTTTTTATTCTTGATCATTATCACTGACTTAAATTGTCGCCTCGCATGCCCCAATGCATTCAGCCCAACACAAACGATCTTTGTTTGCCTTTTCTTAAGCTACAAAAATTATTACTACTACTGCAAAGTTTATTTGCTGATAATCATTGGCGCGGTAAAACATGGAAGAGAAAACTCGGTCGACTCCGTTCTCAATTTCCAATATTCTAAACAGCGCTAGCTCTAGGGAGCATGGAAGGAGAGAGTCGGACAACATAACCGAGACTGCAGAAGCTCAAGACAGACAGCGTTCAGAGTTTTCAAGAGGGCAAAATTGTGAAATTCGTCGCCCTGATGAAAGTCCTGTGGATCTTGATAGAAGGATGGGATATGACTTCGATGACTGGAGTAGAACATCAGTTGAAGGTTAGTAACGCTCAAGGGTGAAAGCGAGCTTCCGGTTACCGAGTTCAGTGTGAATAGCATTATAGTACACTCAAGATTGCTCTGTTTTGGGCGAAACAAGGCCGTGTATTACGTTTATATCTATCGGGCGTAAAGAATAATACACTGAGCCTTACTTCTTGATTTCTTATAGATCCTTCGGAAAAAGGCGATCTCTCCTCCGAGGGCGACAAGAAAGACAGTCTCAAGAAGCGACGGAAGAAGAAAACAAGGACAGTGTTCTCTCGAAGTCAAGTTTATCAACTAGAAACGACTTTCGATTTAAAGCGATACCTGTCTTCCTCTGAACGAGCTGGACTGGCAGCACAGCTTCACCTAACAGAAACGCAAGTTAAGATCTGGTTTCAAAATCGACGGAACAAATGGAAGAGGCAACTAGCAGCAGAAATGGAAGCTGCCAGTTTAGCGCAAGCAAGCCACCAGCGAATGGTACGGGTTCCTATTCTGTACCGCGAACAAAGTCGCACTAGTGAATTAAGCGCTCATCCTCCGTATTCGTTTTACCACCCATCGTCATACCCTGGTCTGCAGTATCCTCAACATTATTCACAGTTTTTGCCTCCTCATTTAAGAGCACCACCAATGACATCACTTCTCTAAGCTCTTGCTGATCAGAAAGGGGGGCCACAAGAAACCAGCGAGCGTGGACTGAAATCTTCATGGCCTTCCCTTGTCATGAAATATACAGTATTTCGTGAAAAGCGAATCGAACGCTTTCGCCGTGCGAACGTTTTAAGGTTTTAGTGCAAAATGTAGACACTTATAAAGACCTCAAGGGCTCGTGAGTCTGATACACAGAGCAATATTTAATTTTAAGATGTCCAACGCGAATATCTTGACTAAAACATCGTCTCAAACTCAAGGAGAAGTTGCCCAAACAGAGTAAGACCTCTTTTGTGGTTACTGAAAGCGGGCTGAGTTTTCATAAGTATTTCAAATCGGAGGGGATTGGTGTAGCAAGTAGAGAATTGTATAGTGTTTACAAATGATATTTACACCTATTTATACAACACTGAAAGCGATTATAGCTAAGAGATGAACCACTTTATATGTAGCACGGAATGCTTAACGGTAAGTCTCGATAGAACGGCTAACGATCGAATGAGGGGTACATTTTATGTTCTCGACGATCATTTGAATTAACTAAAATTTGTTTGAAATCTAGAGAGTATTAAAAACCAGTTTAATTATCGTGATACGGGAGTACCAGAGAATCCATTAGTAAATGGAAACAGGCACCGCTTGTCCAGAAGAACCTTGTATGATATATTGTCCCAAAATCACGAGGACAAAAAACGCTAACGAATTAAGATTTTGTGAGTCCAAATTGTAAAATACGTGTTAAATTGTAGTCAAATATTTACAATAAAAAACGTTTGGAAATTACGCATTATGGGCAAAAGTAGTCTCTTTTAAACGCTATACCAATTTGAAAAGCGTTTCACGGTCGTTCTTCTAAAAGATATTGGACAATACATTAATTACTTGAAGGCGTGCTACTTTTTCAAGCAAGAGGCTAAGGTTGCCTTATAGGAAGAGGGACAGTTGATTAAACGGATGCCTTTTTTCGAAAGTCATCGCACATGCATTGAATGTGTTAATGAATTACTTCACCCTAAGTAAAACTTAATTATTCCTTTTTATTAAGCTTTCGAAAGGTGAGAAAATGGTGTTTAGGCACAATTCACAAAGGAGTTATGGTTTTATCATGACAAAGACCCGTGTACTGATTCTTAATCGTTATCAGGAATTTGTGAAAAGACCAGAGAGCTTTCGGTCATTAATGTTTTTTATCTACAGATAAAGGAACCCCTTTATCAGAATGGTCAAAGAGTGAGTGAAACTTCACCAACGAGATATCTAAGCATAAAACAACCCAGTTAAAATTGTTTCAAACAAAATAAATAATACAGTGCATTCATTTATGGCTATGACCAGTAGAAGTGAATTTGTCCACAAACAAGGAAATATTTTGGAATAAACTTCTTAATTTTCTTTTCCTCGCGAAAATCGGCGATCAATGAATTATGTGGTCCGCCTTCGCGCGTTTCAGCAAATTAGCGCCAGTCGGTTCGCCGTTTAGAAGCGATAAAACGTTTTTGGAACCGCATGGCATTACAAACAGGTGAACTGAGGTATTATGCAGTCGCTGGTACCTGATAGAGTCACGGGAAAACTTCGTACGAATTAAGGTTCGTTTAAAAGTTGGAGAATAAAAGAGATAAAGATCAGAATAGGAAGTTCTCATTGTCAATCTAGGTTTTTACATCATCTAAAATCAACCTCCTCACAAAGATGAAAACGCAATAATGAAATAAAATAAAATAAAAAAACAAGGAAATTCATCGCTCAGGCAATCTCATGCTATAGAACAAAGACAATGAAATATTCATGGGAGGTGATGTTTAATGGTATCATTATTTACTTGGGAAAGGTCCAACACAGCAATATCACGATAAAAAAGTTAAATAAACAAAACTGTGGGAGTCTTACGAAGACTACATCGCCAGCGAGAGCGACAACAGTGGTGAAGACAGTTAAAAGCATGTTTATTCCTTGTATAACGATTCAAGAGTTCACGCGAGGTGAATATCAGACTATATTGGACCATTTGCGCTCAATGGAAGCCATGAATAAATAACCACCACAATTTGACATTGAACTGTGTGATTATCGTTGGCAAAACAGGAAATTTTAGCTTAATGAAAAGCTTTTCCTAATACCAATAGATATTTTTAAACGAATGGAGTACGCATTTGAGAGCAAGATAATTCGCGATGATTAAGCTCTGACCCGGCGCTGGTCGAGAACGTTAATCAAATTGTTCCTATGGCAGCTATTTGTTACGCAAAAGCAATAGAAACGCAACAGTCATGTTCCTGTCTTCATATTTAAATTTCACAACAAAACCCTATTAACCTAATTTTACAAACCTGTTTATAGAGAAAAAAAAAAAAAATACAAGAGGATCCATTAACACGCAAAGAAAGATTAAGCAACAATGAACGAAGAGTGTGGTGTGAATAAAACCGCCCTTATTTGTTAATTTTAAACTAATTTTTAGTCGTCAAAAATGATTACCTGACCTATCCCCTACCAAATGTAAACCAACAGTGGAGAAATATGTCCAGTTTAGTCAAAAAATTATCAAATAGTCGCTTTTAGTTACTTTTGGGCGTCAAGCTTATGACAGCCGGATTGTATGGTGCCGTGATAAGAAATTAAAGGCGATTGAAAGTCGTTCTCGATGTTGTTTCAAACCATATTAACATCGTGCAGCTGCAGGCTATTCATGGCCCGATTTTTCGCCAAAAGTAATGTTATTGACGTGTTAAACGTGAAACGCTGTCATGCCAATTTATAGAGCGGTTTATTTCTATCATTGTGTAGGACTTAAAGAGAACTACCAGGGATTGAACGTTTTGCAGCAAAGCTTAAAGAGAAATAACTTTCAACCATGCAATTAATAGCTCACTTTTATCGCCAGTTAGACGTAATATCTTCCTATTTCCCTATTAAGACCGCTGCTATTGTTTTAATGCTCCTTTTCTTAATTTAATGCGTTATCTACAATATTTTAGTCTTTGTTTATACTTGGAAACATCACGAACGTTATTAATTTTAACTTTCTGGAAAAACACACGCCATGTCAAATCTTAAAGCAATTGGCCATAGCTTCAGTAACTTGATGCTCTACACAGCGTTTAAGTTTTAGAAAAGTACCAAATGATTATTTTTTATTGAATTTAAATCATCCATTAATTTTTTTTGTAGTCATTCGCCAGCAGGAAGTAAAAGATATGCTCATGATATAGATGTACGTTCATAGCAGATCAAACGGTTGCCTAGCAAAGGAGATTTCTTGAAAATCGTCGGTTGTTCCATCTCCGACGTGCTTAGCGAAAAGGGGACATGCGAATTTTGACAAGAATCGTGCATGATTTCACTAATCACCTTACAATTTTGCACCAAAATATAATGCACGCGAAAAAAGGAATTTGTTACGTTTTAAACCGCTAGTCCTCTAAAACATAAAGGGTGTCGGGACCGGGTAACTGAACTGATTATATCGTCAACTGTTTGCAAAAAATTGTTGATCGGAATGGAGAAGTCTGAGTAACGTTGATTAAAACGCTTTGTCATCTCTCTGTAATCAGTTTACATTTATTTCGCTAAAACGGGTTGATGAATGATTTCTGACCAGAATTTATTAAACTGAGAAACATCAAGCGAGGGATGGCGACCTAAACTTTTTAAGTGCATAAGCAACTTTGAGCTACGTCAAGCTAATTCACAGTCTCACAGGTCATTGATAAAATCACAAAATAGAAAAAAGAAAACAGGCAAGTGTAGGCAGATTTTTGGCCATTTCCTATATTACTGCTGTATGATATTATTGCTACTATGAAAACCAAAAATAGTTGGCTGAATTTAGCCAGGCAGTATTTTCGTTTCTTGTGCAGCGGGTTTGTGCGTCATAGAGTTATCTGAACACAGAGGAACAGGAAAATTGCATCCCACAATTTGAGTGAGTTTTCAAAACATTTCACTTTCCAGCTGAGTACTGACTGAAAACAATTTGCAGTTCAAGGATTTTATCACACGTTTGCTATGTCTGTGTTTGGTGAATAATTCGATTATCGCAGCGATCAGCTAATGGAAAGCAAGAAATATTGATGACTTGTTTTAAATACATGTGCTCGGAAATCAGTGAGGACTAAACTTTGCATGTCAAAGCTGAAACAAGGAGATATTGTAATAAGCGGCTATTTAAAAAGTCTTTTCAAAGACAACACATGATCGTTTTTATAATTTCCACTCAAGTACTACAATACCCCCTGACACTAGTCTCAAAAGAACATTTCCCTGATTACAAGGTGTTGGCTGAAGAGTTCAGTGGTTATATTTTTACTTTAACTATTTCTTTTGAGCACTTTCTTTAACTATAGTCAGTCACGGAAATTTTATCCCTCTAAGAATAGAACAATATTAAAAGAAGGTTTTGGAAGTAATTTGTCACAGAAAATCCAAGTTTGTTTAGCTCACGCTGTTTCTAATATCGTCCATTTTGCCAGTTGCACCATGCACAAATAAAACTCCACGCCCTCTGGAATTTTACACTAGCAAAACTATAACATATCATAGATCAAGGAAGTAAAACATTTTTATTTTAGTTTTAGTTCTGCTGGCTTGTGTCTAAACCCACGCTTGACATCGTAGTCTTGGTAGAGAAGGAAGTCGATTGACTTCCTTTTCTCCTTGCTCAAATCATCTGCCTCACAAAAGGAACTAAAAACGAAAAAATAGAACAATATAAGCCGCCTTCGTGTGCGTCATATGTGTGCTTCGTTTTTCGCTTGCTTTTACTGTCACCATAAGCGCAATATCTGCTGCAATTTAAGCATGCCGAGAATAACTGATGTTTCAAATTTCCAGAGCTAATGGAGCCATTCCTCGCGTGGAACAGCTTTTTCTTACGTCTGTTCAGGCATACAATATTCTTAGCAATTTTGTCATATGCAAAGACGTAAAGCGTTAAAAATCGAATTCATCTTTAAATCAAAATGAGACAATTATTTCCAGCTAATGGTACTCAGTCTAAGACGTTAATGGACGCCACGCGTCGTCCCTACCGACGGATCACGCGATCAAACGGGAGAACATTTTAATTTCGTTTGCGTCGCGTGCTCTACTTATTAGGTCTTTGACACGTTATGGGTCTTACAGCGGTTACAATAAATATTTTCCATACCGTACCTTATTGCTGACACACTGAAAAAAGCCATAATTTAATTGTAAGAAGTAAAACGGCTTTATCTGAGTGGCCGACTGATTTTAGGCCTTAATTTTTTTGTTATAGTATCAAGATAAAAATTGGGGAGCATTAAGTAATGTAATGAAGCATAAAAGTAATGTAATGAACATAGCATTAGCGTGCGCATCCACTTCCTTTCTCTGGCGCCTCACCAGGAAAATGACAACTATATGAAAAAACCTAAAAAAAGAAAGGATATTTCAAGAAAAATTTCAAAGCTAAATAATAGGCGCACTGCCAATAAACTTTCTAAAAAATAGGGTTTTCTTTTCTTTTTTCTTTGTTAAGTTTGGAAACACTATCTGTTAGCTTTTTGTATGTCTAAAGTGATGCTTTTCCGTAATCTCGGATCACACTTGTTGAATGCTCTGTCGTCGTAAGGTTTAGTTTTTAATTTTTGTGGCCAGCAGCCGAAGCCGTCTAAAGAAATTGAATTTAACTTCAGATATGTTTCAGCCTATTTCTTCAAGTCATCTTGAGTTGTAACTATGAACATAAGCTAACTAATAAGCAGTGATAATAAACTGACAAAATTTTCAACGATTTTTGGTTACTTTCAGTTGTAAGCAGAAGCACACATGCAAACACGCTAACTTCTCGTTTTCATGACAAGCTCAAACATTCTCTTATGTCAATTCGTGTTTCACTGGGGCAAATATGATTTTGATAGAGGTCATGGCTCGACATTCTCGTTCTTTATTGTTTCTTGTTTTTTGTTCCCCTTCTCCTCTCATTTTGGACCAT